CCGCAGAATGGTCGATTGAATCGGTCCACTTGGTTCTTGGACGGCCAGTTTAGCTGCAGCCTCCTGGACGCAAGTGGGAGTTAGGGTGATGCGGGCGGACTCGGGGGGGACTCGTAGATTCCAGCGGCGCTCCTTTGTCCATGAAGATTTGTTTTCCATTGTTTTCTGTGGATCCACACGCGCTCCATTTTGTCACAAGGATCCCTTTTGAAATTCTAGACACAACAATGGTGCTGTGTTGCACACGGCTGATGTGGTGCACACAGGCGCCGTGGCGTACACAGGCACTGCAATGCACGCAGGTATTGTGGTGTACACTGGTGCTGTGTTGCGCACGGCTGATGTGGGGTACGGAGGCGCTGTGGTGTACGCAGGAGCTGCTGTGCCCGCAGGCACGGTGGCACGAACTGACGCTGTGTTGCACGCGGCTGCCGTGGTGTACATCGGCGGTGTGGTGTACACAGGCGCTGCGGTGCACGCGGGCACTGTGATGTACCTAGGCGTTGTGGTGCATATCGCCACCTACATGTTCGTGCTACTTGTCCTCCGTCATTCCTAAGCATTCCCAGACGCCGCCGGCGCGAAACGTGACGTCATCGACCCCCTCCCCCACCAGATGATTGCCGTCATCGGCCCGGACTCAAAAACAGGCTCCAGCCGCGTCCGCGCGCACGACGACGATGAGCGACGAGCGACGAACCACGAGCGACGACGACGGACGACGACGACGACGACGACGACGACGACGACGACGCCTGCGGACCAGACACCTATGCAGATTCCTACGCGGACACCTGCGCGGATCCCAATGCGCACGGCGGCAATGCCCGGAGCGCACTGAGAGGGGAGCGTTACGTCATAGGGGGGGGGGGAGCGGGGGCCATGACGCCCGTCGTGCCCCAAGCAATAAAGAAACGGGCTCTATCTTGAGCAATGTTGGAGCGCTCTCGGGTCCTCTTGGAGGCCTGTGGGGCATCTGGAAGACATCGTGGGTGCTCCTGGAGCGCTCTCCGGGCCGCCCCGGGCGCTGGGGGCGAAATGAAGTACCCAAGGGGGTGGACCCACTTGCCACTGGGCCGGAAGGCCCAGAGAAGGGAGGGTTCACAAAGCGTCCCCCCGTCAATTCCGGCACGGCCATCACACACGGATCGTGCCTCCACCCGTGAGCTTTTCTTTCGTCTGTATGGGCGAAGCTTGCATGGCGTCCCTCCCCCATCTCTGCACACCCTTCACACGGATCGTGCCCCAGGAGTCGCATAACGTCACGTCCCCTGTGTATATTGACGGTTCCCCCACATTGATCGTACCCCACAAGGAGCTCCACAGACAGCCCAAGAGAAAAAAAAAAACGCATCCCGCCGCCCCGCCCATGCCGGCACACCCCTGACCTAGATCGCGAAGTCGGGGCGTCATGGATGTCTCTCGGGGCCTTGCGGCATGTTAGCCAGGGGCCCCTTGAAGCCTCTCTGAGATGGATCATGAAGCCCTGAGAAGCGGCATGAAGCCCTGAGATGGATCATGAAATGGGGCCCCTTGAAGCCTCTCTGAGAACGCCGTGCAGGATGTAGACACGGGGCGTCTCTTACGCTTATGGGGGCCGATTGGGAGGCCTCCTGGGAGCCTCTCGGAAGCATTTAGGGAGCCTCTTGGGGTCTCTTGGGGGTCCCGGGGAATCTGCGGGCGTTTTCTGGGTCTCTCGGGAACCCCTGGGGCCTCTTGAAAGTGTCCTGGGAACTCCCGGGCAAATGATCGGTGCACGTTGTGAACTGCATCCCCCAAGATAGTGCCCGACGACCCGCGTTGACACCCCCTTGAAGCCCTCTTGGGGCTGCCTTGTTTGTAATTGTGTGTATGTGTAAGTGTGTATATATATGTAGATGTGAACATGTGTATGTACAAGTGTGTGTATGTGCGTTTGCCTCTAAGGCTCTTAAGAACCTCAGAGGCAGCGTGGTGTAAGTATGTACATACGTGTATGACATAGTGTGTTACAATAGGTTGTATGTATTGTGTGGTATGGCATGGTATATTTATACGATGAAATGATCATGTATGTTACGGTATGACATGATGTTGTATGGGATGGTATGCTATGCGATGGCATGCGGTGTATGTGTGTATGTATGCATGCATGCATGAATGCATGTATGTATGATGTATGTATGTGTGTGTGTATGTATGTATATATATATATGTGTAGGTATGTAGATAGGTTGGTAGGTAGGTCGGTAGATAGGTAGGTGTGTATGTGTGTATAGAAGGTTGTATACAGTCATACGTATGGCCTTCAGCCCATCGCGCCACCGTGCCTGGGTTGTGGGTCTGAGTCCTCAGGGATGCTTCTTCGGGTCTCTTCGGAGCGCTCTCGGGGGCCTCTTGGGGGCAGTTTGAAGCTTGGGGGCATCTTGGGAGACTCTTCGGAGCCCCTTAGGGCTCCCTGGTGGCCTCTTGGGGGCCTTTTGAAGCCTGATGGGCGCCTCCTGGGGCCGAGTGCTTGAAGTGTCCATTCGGGTCCTCCGTCGGGGCCCACTCTCGGAGCCGTCTTGGAAGCCCCTCGGGACGTCTTGGGTGCCTGAACCGTTCTGGAAGCCTCTTGTGCCTCTCTAGGGCCCTCTTGGGGGCCTCCTGGGGACGTCTTGGGGCCACCTTGGCGGCCTCTTGGACCGTCCTGGAGCTTCTGGAGGCCGAAAAGGCGAGAACACCTAAATTCTTCAAAAACCTCTGGAAATCATTGATTTTTGTCTCGTCGGGTCATCTCGGGAAGCCTCTTGACTCTTGGGGCGTCTTGGGCACATCTTAGAGGCCTGGTGGCGCGTCTTCAGACCGTCTGGGGGCGTCTCGAGTGACCAGAGCGCCCCAAATGCATTGTTGGACGGTTTTGGGGCAATGTTGGAGGCCGTTGCAACTGCCTGAGAACTCTCTGGGCCCCCACGGGCCGCTGGGGACTTCCATAGCAACACGGGATCCCCGTCAGGCCCCCCCTCCTGGCCAACGCGAGTGTGTATGTATGTATGTCTGTCGGTCTGTCGATCTGTCGGCCTGTCTGTCTGTCTGTATGCATGTGAGTATATATGTATGTGTGTATGTATATATGTGTATCCATGTATGTGTGCATGTATGTATGCATGCATGCATGGATGGATGCATGCATGCATGCAGATATGTATGTATGTATGTATGTATATATATATAAATATATAAACACGTGTTGACCCTTCACCTTCTTCCTCACTCTTACTCTTTCTCTCTCGGTGGGGGAGGGGGGGAGGGTCCACGCACAAGCTCCAGCTGCGTCGGAGCACACACCACGGACACCGAGCCTCCTCCTTCCCCTCTCTCTCCCTCTCCCTCGCTTTTCCTTCCTCCTCCTCGTCCCGCAAGGGGCCCACCCTCGAGAGACTGTTCTTTTATCCAGGGGAGGTAACGCATGTTACCTGGGGGGGGGGAGGGGGGCAGGGGGGGAGGTAACGGTAACGGCGGCCGCGGCGTGCACCCCACCCCCCAAGGCACGCCTGCTGCACCGGCGCGCCAAGCGCCTGTGCAGCGCCGGTGTACACCACGGCGCCCGCGTACACCACAGCAGCCGTGTGCGCCGCATACCAAAACGCCTGCGCACGCCACTAAAACCGCGTGCACCACAGCGCCTGCGCACACCGCGTTGCCTGCGTACACCACAGCAGCCACGTGCACCACAGCGTCTGTGCACCACAGCGCGTGCACGACAGCGCCTGTGCCGACAATACATACTCCTCCCTCCCCCCTTCCGCCGCCCCTCCCTTTACTCCCTGCTTCCCTGTGGCCCCCATCCTCCTCCTCCTCCTCCTCCTCCTCCTCCTCCTCCTCCTCTTCCTCCTCCTCCTCCTCCTCCTCCTCCTCCCCATCCTCCTTCTCCTCCTCTGTTATCCTTCTGTTGCGCCACAGCGCCTGTGTACACCACAGCGCCAGTGCATGCCAGCAGCCGCGTGCACCACACTGCGTGCGCACACCACACTGCGTACACCGCAATGCCCGCGCGCACCGCGGCAGCCGCGTGCACCGCAGCGCTTGTGCACACCACAGTGCCTGCGTGCACGGGGGAGAGGGAGGGGGAGAGGGAGGGGCGTCGTCGTCGGCGACGACGACAACGGAATTTTGCTTTCCGGTGCGTTTTGTTTTGGCGTTGTTTGGTCCGTCTGGGCCTGCGGAGGCCTCCGGGGAACTCCGGAGGCGCCTCAAGTGGTCCCCGGAGGTCCCCGGAGGCGCCTCTGGGGACCTCGAGAGGCCTCTGGGGACCTCCAGAGACGTAGAACTGCGACGCCGACGACGACAACGACGACGACGACGGGCATTGGCCCCACCCCCGGCGACGGGCAACCGACGATGAAGACGACGACGACGACGGGGGAGAGGGAGGGGGGAGGGAGGGAGTCGAGGAAGAACAAACTTCATGAACGTAAACTGTCGGATGTCCGCGCGGGTTTCTAGGACCAGCGCTGGCCCCCTGGCGGCGCCTCTGGCGCCGCCCCTAGCGCGCTCCGCGCGCTGGAGGGGCGGGTCCAGCGCCGATCCAACAAATCCACGCGGACCTCCGAACGTTCGCGTGAACGTCGATGCCTGCGTACACCGAAGTGTACACCGCCAGCTGCTGCAGCGGCGCCAGCAGCAACCGCGTGCCCAACAACGACCCCGTGCCTGCGTGCACCACAATGCCTGTGCACCTCTGGAGGTTTTTGGGCCACTCGGTCGTCGTCGTCGTCGTCATCCTCCCCCCCTCCTCCGCCGACCCCCTCCTCCTCCCCCGCTCCCCCTCCACGACCTCCCTTCTCCTCCTCCTCCTCCTCCTCCTCCTCCCCCTCCTCCTCCCCCTGCCCCTCCTCCGATGGAAACTGCAAAGGTTCACGCCTGTGGCCGGTTCCCTGGCGCTACCGTTACCTGGGATGGGGGGGGGGGCGGGGGGGAGGTAACATGCGTTACCTCCCCAGGTGATAAAAGAACAGCCACCGACCCGGCCCCACGGCTTCCTCGCTCATGATCGACGCCGCCGTCTGGTCCCGCGGATACTCGATCAGCAGGTCTCCGCGGGCAACCTGTTCGCGGTTCAGGACGTCGGCCTGCTTGACCTTGGCTTGCCATCGCTCGGGCATCCGTTCCCAATGAACTTCTGGATTCCGTGGAAATTGCTTTGTTTCGCAAGATGATCCAAGATGCTCCTTGATGGTCCTGGCCAAGAGACGTGCACAAATCCGAGCGATGCCAAGTTGGTGGCCCCAAACAGCACCCCCGCCCCCGATGGCAGCACCCGCGGACAAGGGGGGTGTTGGGACTCACGGAGGGGTTACATTTCGGCGGCCCTGGGTGCTGGAGCTTGAGCGCGATCCGTTTCCTCAAGTCCCACCCCCAGTCGCGGCATCCACTCGGAAAGTCTGTCTCGGCTCTGGCTTTCGTTAATCAAGCTGTGACTCATGGGAACTCCAGGAAAGGACCATTGAAACAGCCGAAGAAACCCCAAGCCCGTTCCGAACCAGAGTTGTGCCTTGTTCCAGCGTATTGGCTGTAAGGGAGGGAGCTAGAGGAAAAAGGATGAGGCGATCACGATTGTGAGCGTTTATGTATTCTGGGTTTCGTCATTTGGCGCAAGGGGGGAGGGGGGGGGGTCCGGCTCTCGTCCCGTAGTCAATACCTCCGATTGAATCATCTTGAAATTTTTAACATAGCTTAAAATTCAACATTTGAGCCTCATGAGGCGTGAAACTGGTAAACAAACTCATTCTGACAATGATGTGGCCAGGATTACTATGGATCACATATTCATGATTCCACAAGGCCGTCGGTGGCATAACAGGGGAGGGCCCAACCGGAGGCATGCTTTTTGGCGATCGGGTCCGGCGCCCCTGAGCCCTTTCGTTATGGTTCCAGAAGAATAGCAGGAAAAAGTTCGCACAATTGCACACATCAACGATTCGAGTTTCTACGGGGGGGGGGGGGGGGGGGGGCGCCGGCCCCCGTAGTTCGTCCGATCGACTGAAGCAGGTGCCAAAATCAGCCCATAACTTCTCTACGGGGGGGGGGGGGCGGGGGGTTCCGCCGAAAGCAAAAAAAATAATAAAAGAACGATCACATTCTCGTCATCCGACTCTTTCGCGATGACATCTATGTGGGAGGCGTGTTCGAGATTCAGGACAAAAGGCAGCTGACCTGGGGAGGCAGTCACGGAGGAGGTGTGGCAAGAAAAGGTGACCCCAAAAAACAGCCGCTCTCAACTCAAACACATGGAGCCCCATCGGTCACTGACGACCGATCATTCTCAGATGATGTCGCCCTTTGCGAGCCGACTGAGCGCTGCATAGACAGATGCTGGTGAGAACGAGGCACGGGAGAGAAAACCGAACATGATTGCAATCACACCACCTTGCCGCTAGGCACAAGGTAGAATGTCCTCGGGCACCTTTGAGTCGCAGAATAGCCGGGCAGCAAATGTGCATCACGGGGCTCATGCCATCGCTCGGACGTCCCTTCCCTGTGCAATTGTCGGCGTCGTGCAATTGCTCCTGTTCGAAAAAATTGTCCCATGTGCTCCTCAACGGTCATCGCCGAGAATGCCAAGGTGGCCGCAAAAATCCGTGCGCCCTCGGGCGATGTTGGGGCGTCCTTGTGAGAAAAGCGTATCGGGCGCCCGCGCCCGCGCCTTGCGCGGCCCCCGCGCCCCGACGTCGACCGCAACGTTGTCGCTTCCGGGGTGGACAGAGGCCTGTCATTGCTCGGACGTCCATTCCCCGTGCATTGTTTGATTTTTGGGTTTTTGCTCTCCGGATGGTCCCCGGTGCTCCTAGATGCTCCAGACTTTCCGGCGCCTTGGCCTCGCCGAGAAAAGATGCACACGTCCCAGCGCAAGGGTGAGCTTGGAAGACTTCAGGGGGCCTCTCAAATACCTTGGAGACCTCTACACGTTGCTCAGGCCCACTGGACCTGCGTCCTTCGGGACCTCTCCCTCCTCCTCTTCCCACAATCACTCAAAACCTGCCCCCGATCAAAGATCGATCGAACCGCTTGCAAAGCACTGCGGAGCATGCCGCTAGTGGCCGCCGGGTCTTGAGCATTCTCAGGGTGAGCTCCCCGACAGCTTGCAAATTGGATGTATCCGTTCCCGCTGAAGACGGCGTAATCGAATCGACGCCACGAACACAGATTCTTCCCCCAACGCCGGAATGTGAAAACCAAAATGGGTCAAACTACGGCGGGTCGCGCTGCAGGCAACGATAGGCCAAGAATCTCCGTTCCGCCGCGCGCACACACACACATCTCGGCACACATAATAGAAACTATCGAATTGCGGACGGCCCTGCCTCCCCGAGATATCTGGAGGTCCAGCCGATCGGTATCGCGGAGGTCTCCGCGGAGGCCTGGAAAGATGGACGTCGAAGGCATCCGAGGAACCTGTAAATGGTCAACACACATCCAAAACATGGATCCTCGATCGACTTCCTCCACATCTCCATCTTCGTCCTCCGCCCCTGGTGGACCATCTCTGGAAGAAACTCGACAAGCAGCGTCGCCTGCTCGGCCTTCGGGACGACGAACAGCGTGTCGGGATCGACCGATGACTTGGCGGCCTTCGGGATGCCCGCGGATGTTACGATGGAGGAGGGAGAACAGCAGTTGGCAAAGCCAGGCCAAAGCGAATGACCAACTGCAAAGGCGGATTGCCCCCTCTGCGAGCTGCATGGGGAATTGATGCAGTGTGCGCCCCCACACAAGCTGTATGAGACGACGAAAAGAAATGACTCGTAGGCTGAAGGCAACACTCCGCGTAGGTCCAAAGAAAATAAATCTCGCATGATCTCCCTAATCACTCCGCTAACTGCCCACTGGCGACACTGCGCAATTGGCAAAACCCAGAGGGTGGAGGTCGACAATTAAGGCATCCACCCCCCTCGGATACGCGTAAGGCGTCACCCCGTCGGACCACCACGGGCGATGTTCTAAACTGCAACTCCTCCCACACCTTCCGATATTGCAGATCAAGCCAGGCATCCTGGCGGATCAGCTAGTGCGTCTGCTTTCGAGCCAGGCAGCAAGAGATCTTGAAGCAGAGCAGTTGGCAGCCCCCAAGGTGGTGAGGTATCCCTTGATTCGCGTGGGACGTCACTCCGCTGGGTCTCGCACAAAACTCACCAAAATTGTGACAATGTTCCGTATCGAAGCGCGCGCGGACGACGAGGTCTGCTTCAGGATATCAGCTGGGTGCCCAAGATGGCCCAGAATGCCCTCCAAGAAGTATCGAAGATATCAAAATCATGTATTGTCTACCTACTTTCGACGGCCACAATGGCCTCCAAGATGAACCTATGACGGCCTAAGGGGGTCCTAAGACGGCCCCACGAGGGTCCAAAAACGGCCCCGTAGGCCCCCCAGACGGCCAAGATAGCCTCCAAGACGGCCCTGAAACGCCCCCAGAGTGCTCCCAGGCGGCACAGCGGGGCGCCCAAGACGGCTGCCGACGGCGCCCGACGGGCCTGGAGCGCCCTAAGACAGCCAGACAAGCTTCCAAGAAGCCCCAAAGAGGCTCAAAGACCCCCTCGAGAGGCCTCCTCCTACGACGGCCCCAAGAGGGCCCCAAGACGGCCTCATAGACCTCCAAGCGAACCCGAGGACCATCGGGAGCGCCCCAGATCGGTGGCACTGGCCAGAGGCCACTACAATATGAAAACAACGAAGACCCGCAACGCTCCTGGACATTGTCCTGAAACTGTAAAACACACTCGGTTCAATCCTTTTATTCTGCCCACCTTGCAAGTCAAGATAGCGCAATGCCTCGAAGAGGCCCAATGACGTTGACCCGATGGCTCCGCAGCCACTGGGCCTCTCAATGACGCCCCCGAGAGGCCAACATCAGAAACAAACTGTATGGTTGTCGACTTGTTCTGTACTTTCCAGTGGGCTCAGGAAAGCCCCAAGAGGGGACCACCAACGTATGGACCAAAAGTATTGCCGCCCATTTTTTGATCGATGGGCTCCAGGATGGCTCCTAACGGTTCCCACAGGCCTCCGATGAGGCCCCCAAAGACGAGGGCTCTTAAGACAAATACCCTTAAGAACGGGGGATCCTGAAGGCAACATGGCTGACTCACGTCAACGTCGTCGTTGTCGTCAACGACGCCTTTTTCCTCCCCCATGTCTATCTCTTCTGTTCCGGAAAATCTCTCCCTTGCTTCAACACCAGACAAAGCGTGTCCGTAGGGTTGGACGGGCGGTTCTATTGAGACTTCCTTACAACGCATCATCGTGCAACTGGCCATCGCTTGGATGTCCATACCCCGTGCATGTTTCGATGTCGTGCGTTCATGTGTTCCGCAAGATGATCCAACATGCTCTTCGATCGTCCTCGCCGAGAAAAAACACACACACGTCCGAGCGATGCCAAGGAAGCTAAGCACTCCAACAACACAAACAATGGGGCTGGTCGTTTCCAACATGCGACTCCCGCCTTAAGCCTTAGAGCCGCACACGGTCGTACTAGAAGGACGGAGGGTGGATACTTTACAAAATGGGGTATCGCCCGAATGGCACGCCTACCGAGCGCTCGTCCATCAAGAACGACGCTTCTCGCAATGGAGAGGAATACACTTCATGACCCTAGGAAATGATGACAAGGAGACTTGGGACGGGAGGATCTACTGCAGCCTGGTTGACGCGCAATTTGGGTATACTCTGGTCCTCCTCCCCATCCTCCTCCGTTCTCCTCCTCCTTCCACCTATACGATTCGCATGGCATTGCGTGAAACGCGCTTCAAACACTATTGATTCCTTTTGCTCGCCCTCCTCCAGCATCTCCATCGCTCGTTTCTCAACGTCTTTCCTCCTCTCTTCCTCATTCTCCACCTCCTCCTCTCTCCAATCATCCTTCCTCCTCCTTGTCCCCCTCGGCTTGGGAAAGAGCCGCGAAAACATGTACGGTTCACTCCTGGGTCTGCTCACGCTGATTCCGAGCTTCGGATTGACGGCTGCCCTTTCCTTCTGAGTTCCAGTGCCTGTTCATGTGTGTCCTTGGTCGGAGCAGTTCGCCTTGCCATCATTTCTGGATGGGCAGCACAAATAATTTCTTCATCTGGCAACAGGTCACGTCTAAAAGCACAAACCTGATCAACTATCAGATGGATGCCACGCCAACCACCATCTTCTCGTATTTGACGATCGAGTGTGCGCTGACCATATCTGGATGCAACAACAGCTTCTTGAACATTTCAGGGCTCACTTGATCGCACCTGTATCGGCCGTCCTCTTCATATCCGCCACCGTGCCCTTGAGGTACGAGTTGGAATGTCATCAGGGCCCCTGTTGGACCCCCTGGAGCCCCAATCCTCAACCTGAGAATTCTACAAGGGGCCTGGACCCGAAATTGTCAAATCGGCCGGGGCTGGTCGCGTAGCCCACGGTACTCCCAGCATCTTCCCGCGTGACGTTTTTACCTAACAGCGAAGACTGATAGGTTTCTAGTGGTCTCAAAAGAGAGCATCATGACTCCCAAGGGGGGTCTGGGCAGATGCCGGACGGGTGCCGCGGGAACCCGGGGACTCCCCAGAAAACTATCCCAGGCCACATTTTGACTGCCCGGAGCCGACAGAACACAATTCCCAGGCTACATTTTGAATGCCCGGAACCAATTGTAGGCCACTTCGTGTTCTTCGTGCTCCCAGAACACCATTCCCAGGCCACATTTTGAATGCCCGGAGCCAACTGTAGGCCACTTCGTGTTCTTCGTTTGCCCAGAACACCAGTCCCAGGCCACATTTTGAATGCCCGGAGCCAACTGTAGGCCACTTCGTGGTCTTCGAATTCCCAGAACTCCATTCCCAAGCCACATTTTGAATGCCCGGAGCCAACTGTAGGTCACTTCGTGTTCTTCGTGTTCCCAGAACACCATTCCTGTACCATATTTTGCTTGCCCGGAGCCAACTGTGGGCCACTTTGTGATCTTCGTGTTCCCAGACACCAGTCCTATGCCATATTTTGAATGCCCGAGCTGAGGCAGGCTGAGGCCGAGGCAGGCTGAGGCCGAGGCAGGCTGAGGCTAAGGCTGAGGCTGAGGCAAGCCGAGGCAGGCTGAGGCTGAGGCTGAGGCAGGCTGAGGCTGAGGCAGGCTGAGGCTGATGCAGGCTGAGGCTGAGAGGCTGACGCTGAGGCTGAGGCAGGCCGAGGCTGAGGCTGAGGCCGAGGCAGGCTGAGGCTGAGGCTGAGGCTGAGGCAGTTTGAGGCTGAGGCTGAGCCTTAGGCTGAGGCAAGCTGCGGCTGAGGCAGGCTGAGGCTGAGGCTGATGCAGGCTGCGGCTGAGGCAGGCTGAGGCTGAGGCTGACGCAGGCTGAGGCTGAGGCCGAGGCAGGCTGAGGCTGAGGCCGAGGCAAGCCGAGGAGGCTGAGGCTGAGGCTGAGATGCTGAGGCTGAGGCTGAGGCAGGCTGAGGCTGAGGCAGGCTGAGGCTGATGCAGGCTGAGGCTGAGGCTGAGGCTGAGGCAGGCGAGGCTGAGGCTGAGGCCGAGGCTGAGGCTGAGGCAGTTTGAGGCTGAGGCTGAGCCTTAGGCTGAGGCAAGCTGCGGCTGAGGCAGGCTGAGGCTGAGGCTGATGCAGGCTGCGGCTGAGGCAGGCTGAGGCTGAGGCTGACGCAGGCTGAGGCTGAGGCCGAGGCAGGCTGAGGCTGAGGCCGAGGCAAGCCGAGGCAGGCTGAGGCTGAGGCTGAGGCTGATGCTGAGGCAACCTGAGGCTGAGACAGGCTGAGACAGGCTGAGGCTGAGAGGCTGAGGCAGGCTGAGGCTGAGGCAGGCTGAGGCTGAGGCCGAGGCAGGCTCAGGCCGAGACAGGCTGAGGCTGAGGCTGAGACTGAGGCTGAGGATGAGGCCGAGGCAGGCCGAAGCTGAGACAGACAAGGTGAGGCTGAATGGGGGGGAGGGGGGGGGGAAGAGGGGGGAAGGAGGCAGGCTGAGGCCGAGGCAGGCTGAGGCCGAGGCAGGCTGAGGCTGAGGCTGAGGCAAGCCGAGGCAGGCTGAGGCTGAGGCTGAGGCTGAGGCAGGCTGAGGCTGAGGCAGGCTGAGGCTGAGGCTGACGCAGGCTGAGGCCGAGGCAGGCTGAGGCTGAGGTTGAGGCAGGCTGAGGCTGAGGCCGAGGCAGGCTGAGGCTGAGGCTGAAGCAAGCCGAGGCAGGCTGAGGCTGAGGCTGACACTGAGGCAGGCTGAGGCATCCGTGGGAATCCATAGGAATTCTTAGGAATCCGTAGGCATCCTTAGGAATCCGTAGGCAGAGTTAAGCATCCTCAGGAATCCTTAGGAATCCTTAGGATTCCTCAGGAATTCTTAGGAATCCCTAGGAATGCCCAGGAATCAGGATCCCTAAGGATTCCTAAGGTTTCCTAAGGATTCCTATGGATGCCTAAGGATGCCTTAGGAATCCCAAGGAATCCTTAGGATTACATTGGATCCTAAGGCCGTTGCCACTGCGACTGTCATTGCGAATGCGACTGCGACTGCGAGAACAGCAGAATTCTACAACTGGATTATCACCTGAATCTTAAAGGGAATGCTTCCAGAGATGCTTATACACATCGCTGTTAGGTTGCGTTGCCG